TGGGGGGCAGTGGGGGCAGGGGCAGAAAGCCCAGGAGGGAAGGGCCTGGCCAGCGGGGAGGCAGCGGGGATTGGGGGTGGGGTGGGAGAAGGGGCTACAGGAGCAGAGGTATGTGGAGCTGCTGGCTGCTGAGCAAGGGGTGTCCTCGCCCTGGTGGTCTCGGTGCATGGGGCGGGGGGTGAAACCTTCCTTCCAGAGGGACCCTCTGACCAAGAGAGCCACGGATATGGGACTTGGGGGTGGGGAGGAAAGGAGGGGTGCTTCTTGCTTCTGCTGACAAGGGCCTTCATCTGCTGGGGTGGGACCTGCCTGGAGCCCCAGGACCCCCAGAGGGAGGGCCCCCCGAAGGGAAGGCCCCTCGGCCGCACTGGAGGTTGGGGAGCCTGACCACCATCCCACAGCGGCACCCAGAGCGGTGCTCTCTGCTCAGGGTCGGGCAGAGCCCACCCATCCTCAGACCACAGTCCATAGGCTCCGCAGGGCCGCCTGCCCCCTCCGTCAGGCCAGGCAGCCTCAGGGACCTCGCAGTTCTCTGTACAGGACTAACCACAGGACCACCCACAGCACGTCACTCACAGCATCTCCCCCTCCCCCCGCGACGGAGCCAACACTCAGGTCATCTCCAGCTGTTACGCCCCATGACGGGGCCGTCGGAGACAATGTGGCCTGGCCCAGCGACGCGGAGGACAGCGAGGGGATTTCGCCCCGGACACCCTCCCCTCCAGGACTTGCCCTGCACAGCCAAGGACACCCTGGTCAGGCCCGGAGGGTCAGAGCACGCAAGCCACGGAGCAGCACATCCGGGAGGGAAGGGCAGCCTGGGACGAAGGCCATGAATGAAGGCCCAGGCGACCAGCTCCTCTGATGCGGCCGGGGAGGGCGCGGGCGGGAGGGCTCTGACCGCAGTGCTGTGAGGGGGCGGCCGGGAGGGGAGCCTTGGGCCTGGAGAGCTGGTGACTTCCACCTCTCGGCCAGCATCCCCCTTTTTGCCGATTGCTTTTGAGTCTGGGGTCCCAGGGCATAGGTAGGGGCACAGCTGGCCGCACCCAGGGTGACGATGCCGGGAAATAACTGTGTCTTCCATGTTGGGCAAAACGGCTTCACCGGCCCAGTAGCCTGTGACGGGACATGGAGTCACTGGCCCCGGGGGCCTGTCGTCTGCCCGGCCCTGGCGGCTGTGCAGGAGCAGCACGAGGGGAAGGACACCCGCTGGACTTGGGTGGGAGGTGGCTCCTGCAGGCCGGCTGCCCTGGGATTTCCCAGAAAGCTGGGCGACAGCGAGAGAGCCGAGCCAGGGATGGGCTCAGCCAGGGCCGCCGTTCCTGCAGGCACTTGGCACGAGGGGCAGCGCTGTGCATCTGCCAGGCACCACCCAGAACCGGGGGCCTGGAGGAACCGGGGCCCGCCCAGAGCTGCTGGCAAGCCAGGGGGCGACCCTGAGGGTCCCGGGGTGGCTGGAAGGGCAGAGGCTGGAGGAGGGAGCGGAACCCTCTCAAGGCGTTCTTCCCATGGGCACACAGGGGCTGCCTGGGCTGCGGGCCGTGGGCATCAGCCAACTGAAGTGCCGATTCCGGAGGCCAGCCCAGGCCTGGGTCGCCGGAGGTTCCCCACCCATGCCTACCGAAGCCCCTCCAGAGATCCAGGGACTCTCTTGGGGGAGGGGGTAGACGGGAGAGCCAGCCTGGGCCCCTGCCAGTGCACACTGCAGGGTGGCGGTCCCGACACCTGCCCTCCTCTGCCCCAGGGGCTGGCGGGACACCAAGAGGGAGGGAAGCTGGGGACTGGCCTCAGGGGCTGGGTCCACCCCGCCCCCACGCCTTCCCCCCTGCACAGCCTCCACCCAGCCCCTGCCGGCTTGAGTCGAATTCGCTGTAACTTCAGAAGGAAAAGCACAGCTACGAACACCCGGAGCAGCCCCCCGAGACGCGGAGACGGGGGAGGTGATGGGTCACCCGGGCCTCTAAGGACGGGCGTGAGGCCCCATCGCCGTTGACACGCGCTACCTCCCCTCGGCATCCCCACCGCCCACCTCTTCCCTGGCTGCTGTCCAGGCACCGCGGGACTCCAGCCCTCCCACCGTCCACCACATGCCTTTGCAGTCAGTCAGCCTCAGAACCAGAGCCTTTTCCAGACCCACGAGGAGTCCCGGATGAGGGCTCCCCAAGGGTGTGCATGGAAGGAGGGCCCGGAGAAGGAAGGGCTTGCACCCCAGGGCTGAGATCCAAGCGGGGCGGGGGGAGGAGGAGGCGCTCACCCAGGCCTGAGCCCTCGGACCCACGCACAGTAGGCCCAGTCCCGGCCTGGCTTTTGATGATGGAGCTGCCCGGACTAGAGAGACCCCAGAAAAAGATGAGCGATGGTTCCCACTGCCCCTCCCTTGCCAGCGCCCCGCCCCACAGCTGCCCCTGCCACCTGCACAACCCTGGCACTTCCAGTCTGAGTCACCATGTGCAGGGGTTGCCCAACCGAGGCCCTGACGGCGGCCCTAGCTCCCTCCTGAGGATAAAGCACTTGGCAAGGGAGCGGCAGGCAGGCAGGCAGGGGTGGCCCGCCCCAGGCGTGTCGCGGGTACTCAGACCCTGCCCAGCCCGTGTCACCATGTGCTCTGATGTCTGGGGCCGGGCGGCCATGGACGGTCCCTCCCCCTATGATGACGTCCGTCACGGCGTCAAAGACAAACTGGATGTTGTTGGTGTCGGTGGCGCAGGTGATGTGGGTGTAGATCTCCTTGTGGGCTGACTTCTTCTTGCTCTCGTACTGGGCCTGGATGTAGGCCACGGCTTCCGTGAAGGCGCTGGGGCCTGCGGGAGAAAGCGGGAGGAAGGGGACGGGTGAGGCGAGGCCACCAGCGGGGCCTCCTGGTGACAACCAAAGCAGAAACCCGACGCAGGGAGGGAAACGCAACCGCTCAGCTGCAGACCCTGCAGGCGGGTCCTCTCTTGTCCGTGACCCCCCCGCGCAGGCCCCGGTGGGTAGAAACTGCCGGTGAGTCACCTTGGCCTCCTTCTCCTCACCCTCGCCTCTCGCAGGCTCACCATCCGGCCCCCGACTTGCTACCTCCCTCGGGGTGTGCACATCGCTCTGCTCCTGGGGGAGCCCAGGCAGAGGGTTTGCAGGAGACCAGCCACTATTTGGGGGGGAGAACTGGGAGTTTTCCATGGAAGCACCCCCAGGCTCCAGGAACTGGGGCCCAGGCACGGGCAGGGCTGCCAGGACCCCCGGAGGGAGGGCAGGAAGGGGGGCTGGATTTTGGAGCTAAGCCAGGGTGGCTGCTGTGCAGACTGGGAGTGGCCTCCCTGGAGGGGGTTCCCGCCCCTCGGGCACCAGGGTCTGCCAGTGCACAGCTCCTCCCCAGGTCGGGGCCAGAGGGGCCTGCAGGCACTCACTCAGGCCTCCTCAGTGCCAAGCCACCCTTGGGGTCTGACCCACCCTGCCTGCTCCCGCTGCCTCCCAGGCCATAGCGGAGGTCAGCCAGGGCAGGATCCCCGCACCCCCAACTTATAGCTAAGAGGGGGCTGGCTGGGGGTGTGGGGCTGCTGAGTCCCACCCACTTCTGGCTGCACGCGGCTGGGGGCCTGGATGCGGGGCAGTTGGCTTGATCTCGAGGCAGGGGAGGTAGGCCGGGGGCCTGGTCAGGCTGGGGATGCCCACTCACCTCTCTGACCAGGCCCTGGCCAACAGGGAGAGCTGGTGGGCACCTGGGCTGCTCCGGCCACCCGACAGTTAGGTAAACCCATGGCCACATCCTCACCATAGCACCCTCCCCAGGGAGGCCCGGTCTCTGCCGCCTGTGCAGCGCCCGCACCTCCAATAGGCCATTAGGGTTTCGTAACCACCGTGTGGGAGGTGTTGTGACCGCTGCTAGTTAGGACCACCATGGTCACAGGAAGAGCAGATGTTTGGTGAGCGCTGGCTGTGTGCAGCGGCCAGGCCGAGGGCTCCATGTTCACCAGCTCACGTGGCGCTCCCAGCCGCTCTGCGAGGGAGGGCTGCACAATCATTGTGCTGATCCCCATCGCACAGGCGTGAACACCGAGGCCCCGAGAGGTTCTGTAACCTGCTGCGAGTGGCAGAGCCGGGGGCAGGACGCTTGGGCTGCTGGGCTCAGCCCCGTGGCGACCCCCTCATCATGTTGGTGCTGCCCCTTCACTGACCATCTCTGTTTACAGATGACCAAGCTGAGGCTGAGCTCACACAGCCAGGACTCTGGCCCTGCCTCCCCTGACCAGGCTGCCCCACTGGCTGCCCCCTCCCCTCACTACAGCACATGAGGGGTGCAGGGGGCTGCCTTTGGTTTTGTGTTGGCTTCTCCGTGGTTGAGTCCGGCGCACCCTCAGGGCGCACACGGGGAGGCTGAGTTCCGGATGGGGGCCCGCTCCCCCGGGCGCCCGGCGGCCAGGCTCCTGCGTCCCTACCTGTGTATTCGGGGAAGCAAATGGTCAGCGGGGACTTCTTGATCTTCTCCTCGAACAGGTCCTTCTTGTTGAGAAACAGGATGATGGACGTGTCCGTGAACCACTTGTTGTTGCAGATGCTGTCGAAGAGCTTCAGGGACTCATGCATGCGGTTCTGCAACAGAGCGGAGAGGCGGGTGAGCGCCGGTGCGCGGGCCGACCCACTGCGGCCACCGCACAGCGGGACAAGCTGAGGAAGTGTCTGCCGACGTGGCGGGACGCACCACCAAGGGACGGAGACAGGAGGACCCACAAGGACAAGGGGTGCGGTCCCCGCCTCATTCCACACGCAGGCAGGTTGGAGTGGAGCCGGGCGAGCGGGGAGGGGAACGCTGCCCCAGCCCTCCTCCCCCAGAGGGCCGACCGGGCTGGGGCAGCGAGGTCGCTGGGGGGACTCCAGCTCACAGAGAGGACATGCACCATGCACTCGGGGCAGGGCCACACCACTATCCAACACGTCTACACGGAACCGTGGGGCCATGCATATCCCTCTACCGGGGCCTCATTCCGATTGGCCAGCGGGGGTGGGGGTGGGGAGCACGCATTCAGTTGGGGCACATTAACCGAGGACGAAGAGGTCCTCGAATTAATCCAGAGTTGGAAGCAGACACAAGGGGACAGACAGCGCCTGGGGGGTGATCTTGCTGTGGCCTTGGTGTGGGTGGAGACTGGGCTGGGTGGCTGGGCCATGGCTGGGCAGGGGGTTCGGCTCTAGGTGAGCGGCTTAACCCAGCAAAACGGAAGAAAACCGAGAGGAAGAAAAAGCCCAGCAGAAAACATGAGAGAAAGAGAAGGGGGGGGGAACCCTGAAAAATTGGTTCAACCGGTATCAGGGCCGGGAAGTCAACGCAGGTCCAGCCTGGGGCCCCGTGCCGGCTCAGAGGCCGTG